AAAAAAAAAAAAAAGAAGTCTGTGCGGAGAGACCTCGTGGGTCCTCCCATGTCTGAGATTTCTTTAGTGGGTTAATTTTATGGCATCATTTTTAGTGTCTTAGTGGGGTCTGTGGTACTGGTTCTCCACAGTGCTTGGTTGGTCAACAATTGCCATTGGACTAATTCAAAGTCAACTCCGCTACTGTCTTTTTCCCCAGATTGTTTTCTCTTGTCTACGTGCATTCTCATTTATGTCTTAAATAAAAACTTCTTGAATATCATTCATATAGAACCAAGTCTGCTTTTACCTTTTTCCATTTTTTCTCGTCACTTCCTATTTTTCCTCCTTTCTATTTTGTAATCCTAACACTTTCTCTTACAGCCTCTTCTCCTTTGTCTTCCTGCTGTCCCCCATGGCTCTCTTTGGGTCATTTTTAACAGCATTTTGCCTCATACTCACAGCTAGAGTAGTCTTAGCTCCTTCCTCCAGGGTCCTCCCTTGGATTCCATCACCTTAATGGCCATGCCCTCTTCCCCCTTCCCCCTTCCCTCTTCCAAAGCAGTCCAATAAGCTTGGGCTGACCCAGCACGTCCCTCAGCAACATTATAAAAAAATCAGTTCTCAGTGATTTGTAGTCATTGGCTTCAGGCACGTCTGACTTCAGAATCCATTCCAACATAGCACAGGTCACGATTTGTTTGGAGGTCTGCTTCAACTCAGCCCAAAAGCATCTGCCCAATTTGCCAATACAATCAAACATCAAAATGCCATTTCCGTGCAAAGCATAATAATCCTGATGGACTGGTGGTCTGCGAGCCTATTGAATACCGGTTGATTCATGTGTCTAGCCACAGTAAAATGGTCGTCATGATGGCATTGGAGATACATCCGGCAAAACCAGATTTCAGTATTTGTTTGACTAGATTTCACATTTCTTCCTAGGTAAACATGGTGTTCTTAGTTGTAACATCATACTATATTTTTCTTTTGGTCAAGATTCCACTTTATGTTTAATGTATTTTTATACCGCTCACCCCCCATTTCATGCCAATAGTACATTTTGGTACTGAATGTATGTGCTTCCTTAGTTTTCATGTTGTTCCAATAGAAATACCACAAGGATTTTCTTTTCTTCTGTTTCTCATAATGACTGAAGCAGTGGCTGCCCAACTGGGATATTCAAACCCTCCAGGTCTAGACAAGCTAAGATTTGGACTTGCCAGAAGAAGGTCAGAAGGGTCCATTTTTAACTGGTACTGGGGCTCTCAGCACGAATAGAATTATCCAGGAAATCTTTCACTTGTTCCAAACCCCAACCATTTTTTTCCCACTCAGAAAAACAGTTGCAAATATTGAAAGTCTAATGTCAAGAAAAATTTGCAACCACTAAGGTGATATTTTTCCCTGACTCATTTATACAAAATTACTCTTTGCTTTATGAAGTATGTGTGTGTGTGTATTCACATGTATATGCCTGTGTGCATGTATGTGTATGTGTTTTATTTCCTGTGAGGCCTGCTAGGAAGTATTACAAAAACATGATGTGATCATGATTTATCCGTTAGGTTAAAATGTAATGCTGAATCCTGCATAGCTTTATTTACTTATGAGGACAAATTGCTATGCTTATCCAAATATTATTTATGATAAATGTTATTTTACTACACAAAATTACCATTCTAAGTTTACAGTATTCTTACCTTTAAAAAAGAAATTCTGTGCAAGTTATGTAATTGTCTTTTAAAATATCTCATAATTCAGCGTATGTCAGGCTTTAAAAAATTCTTTTCCATGAATAATGACAGTTATGGATAACAACTGATGGGGGGGAAAAATCCATGAATCTACCATGATTCCAGTAAATATAGAAAGAAAAGAGTTATAAAATGACTATTTTGAAAAGTTCATTGTAAAAATTGATCCAAGTAAAAATCATCAATGATACTAAAACCATTGAGTAAAAATATACTGGGGAGTAGGATACTGATGTTGTCTCAAGCTGTCTCCTCATAGATCACTCATTGATGATCAAAAAAAAAAAAAAATTCCAGTGGAGAAATCCGGTGAACTCCATCCTAACCAAGTGGTCAAAGTTATCACCAGCCATGAAACATGAAACACTGACCCTGAGTGCCCCTCTGAAGCATGAGAAGGAAACAGTTTTTGTAGTTTTTCTGCCAAAAAAATGCATAATCTAAATCTTAGCATGAAGAAACTATCACACAAATCCTAATTGGGGGTTTGATTGGCCTGGGTTTCTTCCAAAGTATCAGTATTGTGACCAAGAAAGGCTCAGTAATGTTCTGGATTAAAGGAGTCTAAAAAGACATGACAACTAGACCCTGAATTGAATTCTGGATTGCCAAAAATGAAATTTCTATGAAGCATTACTATGCAAAGGTGTTGGCTGGTGACCATCTACTAAGATCCGCAAGATAAGGAGCTCGCACCAGAATGCAAATCAGTTACCTCGTGATGTACACCACTCAGTTCAGTGGGCACTTTTTCCCCAGGAGGACACTGTTGGTGAAAGAAACTGAGTGTTGATAAGCATTCTGGAGGAAAAACCTATCTCATCGCAAGCTGGCATCAAATTTCCTACTTCTGTCTACAGACACACTTGGAATAGTGTTTCTGAAGGATAGTATTAGGACAGTTGACTAAATTGGAATATGAAATGTAAATTAGACAGTCGTTTGTGTCAATGTTAAATTCCCTAGAATGGTAATAGTACCAGGGTTATTGAAGAGAATGTCCTTGTTTTGAGGAGATACATGCTAAAATATTTCTGGGTGAACGTTCATGATGTCTGCAACTAACTTCCAAATGGTTTAGTAAAAAGTGAAGCAGTGTGTGTGTGTGTGTATGTGTGTGTGTGTGTGTTGTGTGTGTATTAAGAAAGAGCATGAGTGGGGAGCCTGGATGGCTGTCAGTCAGTTAAGCCTCCGACTCCTGGTTTTGGCCTGGGTCATGATCTCACGGTCATGAGATCGAGCCCTGCATCAGGCTCCGTGCTCAGATTCTCTCTCCCTCCCCCTCTGCTTCTCCCCCTGCTCATGTGCTTTCTCTCTCTCCCTCCCTCTCTCTCTCTCTGTCAAATAAATAAATAAATACATACATACATACATACATAAAATCTTAAAAAAAGAGCATGAGTGTAAATATGGCGGAATGTGTAAAACAACAACAGTGAAGAGTATACTCCTCTTGTGCTGCTCTTACAAGCTTTATGTAGGTTTGCAATTGTTTAAATAAAATCTAGGAAGAAAAGAAATAGAAGTGAGTGTTCTAGAGAGGCAGGTATCAGCCATGTGGTTGGTAACTATAGCACCTGGGCGCGTTAATGACTTCGGGAACCAGCCGAAGGTCTTGTTTTGAACATATTGTTGGAAGTGATCAGCTAACCCGGCTGTCCTTATATGCCCTGAGTTATTGCTTCCAAGGACTGTCATAATCTTTGGTGCTGTGGTGTCCCTCTTTATCTGCACTCAGCCTCTGACTCAGGTCCTAGCTACTTTTATTGGGGAAAAATAAATAAAGAAAACCATCTCATTTGTGCTTTCTGCTGAAAATCAGGTTTCCGAGCAAGAAATGGACGCAGTGATCGCACGCAGCACTTATCAGGAGAGCAAAGAGGCCAGCTCCTCTCCAGGCTTAGGTACTGTAATTGCACGTCTTCGTCCAGCATGAGTAGAGCTTTCCAGGAAGCTCCCCCAGGGGGCTCCCCCAGGGGGCCCATGCTGTGATATTAGAGTCTTTGTCATGACCAGGTTTGGCAGAAGTCATTGTCAAAGAGATCCTGTGCTTGCTCCTAGCTGCTACTTTTGATTTCTGCTGTTATTTAATGTGCTTTATTAAAGTTCTAATCACGCATGCTTCTTACACTATGAGATAATTTACAAAAATGAGTTAACAGCATTTCATGTGTTTATGTACAATTCATCTGAAATGGCCTAGGTAAAAAGTAATACCAAAATATCAGTTGTTTGGTAGACGCAGAGTGTTCTCCGTCCCAAAGGCTGGGGTTTCTTTACGTGAACTAAAGGTTTCCACCCAGTATGGCAGCCTTACTTCAATAATAAGTAGATATTTTTTTAAGTTTCAACTGAAGATGAGTAATAGTAGAAGCTCCCCAAATCATGATTTCCCCCGTCTTAAGTGGGAAAGTTCAGACAGAGAAGGATTGAGATAATAAGAATTTCCTATGAATTTCAAATTGGAAACATTGCATCAAGTTTTAAAAGTAATGTTTCCAGTAGAATGGAAATTCAAAGGGACTCTGCAAACATGTCTCAACTCAAGATATTACTGATGTCAAGACTGATGTCGGGAGAAAAAGAAACTGAGACGTGAGTTACTGGTTGTCGGAGGAAAAGGAAGGCATAGGATTTTTTGGCAGCCATGGAATACCCTGATTATTTGCATCCATAATTAATATATTTAAAGTGGCCCCAGCCATAATGGGCTCTTTATTCGGCCAGCCCGTTCTCCTGACCTGCCTGCAAACTGCCCTCTCATAATCCCGGCGTATGCCCACAATCATTTACGAAAGATTTTATTAAGCTATGAACCTCATGTGCAAGCTCTTTTTGCTCATGGCATATAATTTAAAGTTTCAACGCCAAATCTTTTCATCCTTCTACTAAAAACCAAAATAGGTATTCAACCCTCCCCCGAGTTCCTTCAGGAGTTTGAGTGGCATTTCTTTGTTCATTGATCCTTCAGTCCATTCAACAAATATCACTGAATACTTCCTAGATCCAGGTGCAATGCTGAGCACTGTGGGGTCAGATCAGTGAGGGTCTCAGCCTTATAAATAGTTGAGGAAGGGAGATGAGGGGCATCCACTTATAATTACATTGTACTGTGTGTATGAAAATTGGTGTATGGGTAGTATAAAGTACCTTTAAGATTCAGAAGAAGTTACCTCCAACTGGGATTATCATGGAGGTGGTAACATCCACGTTCGGGCTTGAAGCATGAGCTGAACCTTGGGAGGTGGGATGGAGTAGGGATCGGGTACCCGGGTTGAGTGCATGCATGTCTATACCTACACACGTGGCCCATCAGTGTCAGTCAAGCGAAGAGGGGTTAATATGTTTGGCTCCTCCTTTTGTGGTTAAGAATGTGAACCTATTTGTAAGGATGTATGCTCTGCTGCTTTGACATTATGGTGAATTTTCTCTCCAGCAGGTACCCCCTTGAAGAGTCCCTCTCTTGCAAAAAAGGTGAGTCAAGGCACACTGCTGCCTCATTCAGCTGGCCCATGAACCAGTTCCTGGGGCCCAGAAGTCAAACCTGAGGGCCCAGCCCATATCTTTGTCCGGGAGTCATTTTAGCCACTTTACAGACTACGGCAACAATGCTAATTTGAGAACAAATACAAAAATGTGTGTTTCTTTTATTAAATACTTATCTAAGAAAAGAATAGAGCAACAAAATAAAAGAACTGAGCTTCAGTTTAAAAACAGTTTTCAAACTGCTCCACAATAAAGGGGTCTCCGGTTGGTTTTCGGGGGACCTGTGACTTTAAGGAGACTAGAATGTTTCCCAGCTGGTGATTCCTCAGTCCCAGTGGATCTGAGCACAGGATTCAGACCCCCCTCTTTTCTGTTCCATCACTAGGCTGAACCAGTGGCTTGCAATGTCATTCCATTTTCCTATCTCTTCCCCCAGTGGTTTTCCTGGGATGGTTGATAAATCGCTGCTGTGGCTTTTCTGGTCATTGCTAAACATTTGGCCAAAAAAAAAAAAAATCTCTTAAAAACCTCGTCTGGCAGCAACCATTGCTGTTTTCATCAGTTGTCTAATTTAGCCATCCTAGAGTCAATGGAAGTGGGTGCCTACTCTCACCACTGTTTCCAATGACCGTGGATGAGAACGAAGTGTTCTTGGAAAGCCAGGAGTTACTGTTTCGGATAACTGGCCTCTGGCGCGCCTCCCCCATCAGCCCGCACCGTCTTCTCCAACAGGACGCCCTGATTTCTGAACCCGAAGCCTCCCAGGACTTTGCCCACGGTGTCCCAGGCTCCCTGTCAGACCTCATGGTGGCCGGCTCGGAGGACGAGGACTCCCCAGGCAGCGGCCGCAGCACCTCCGAGGACGGTGGCCTGCCAGCTAGCACCTCTAGTAAACCACGCCTGTTTGCTTTCTTTTTTTGTTTAAGATTTTATTTATTTATTTGACTGATAGAGAGACAGTGAGAGAGGGAACACAAGCAGGGGGAGTGGGAGAGGGAGAAGCAGGCT